AACTTATTCACAAAATGTCAAGGGCGGCCTCTCTATTGGGGGATAATCCTAATTTCTTTGGTTATATCTGGTCGCTCTTCTTGACAAAGTATCTTGGGGGAACTCATAAATCAGCATTTAAAAGATCGGAGGTGGTAAAAATGTTCAACAAAACAATCATCAGAATGTCAGGTTTCACCTTGTATTATCAATGAGAGAGAAGCAGCTTTCCATACGTTAATGCAGGTTCACCTCTGAGATTTGATCAGTCATCTACAGTAACATGAGGCAGGCATGTACACCAACTATAGTTTTGCATCTATGTACTGTGTACGCTGATGTAAATATCCATGTTTACCCTTTTTGTGTAAATTTTGTGGATAATCACAGCTGAGTGTTTTATAAGTCACTTACTGTTTTTTCATGTTCCCCAGCTTGTAATACATTCATCCAATAACTGATAGATGGCAAACATGTAATAATTATAATTAAATGATTTATTCTCACTATCAGATATCGTTCAGATCTACACAAAAGAACGCTAAATACGTACTGAGCTTCTGCTTTGACAATCTAACGGTGAAAATGTGATCAAATCCTTCCCGAATGTGACGGCCAACTTGGGCTCTTCTGTGTAGAGTTTAAATCCAATGGGGTTTTCACTGTGTCAACTAAAAAATAATGTTATCTTACATTCAACCCAACTAAACTGCTTTCAAATGGGAGGGGAACTTATTTCCTTGCGTATTACGAATTGCAGGTTCAGACACAAGGTTCATGTTAGAAATTTAAACCGAACCAAACAAATGCACCATGATGACTTGGTTATTGTTTCGTCAAACATTAAGGGTTCTGTTGGGCCATTTGCCAGCATTCTGTAAAAACAGAAGTGGACACAGTATTGACGGTCGCCATCTTGTTTTATTGCAAAAAGTAACAAAAGTTTTCAGGACTTCAAGAAGTGACGTTGAGACGCCGTAAGAAACTTCATTAACCTGCTTTATGATATGATATTTTATTCTAAAGGGAAACGTAACTTAATGATGAGCATCCTACTGTTTTGTTAAAGACGATTGAGACAATTACCTTAAGCTCACAGTCTTTCTCCTTTTACAACTAGACAAGTCGTCCCCTGATGGAAAGCTTGCAGGTTTAAGGATGCGTATACATTCGCTTCCAGGACGCTAGGTTTGTCTCTGTGAATAAGACACAGTCCTTTTTATGCTACAGAAAATATACAAGTCAACCGAGATGCTGAGATTTCCTCTTTTTTCCTGATGATTTTCTTTACTAAGATTCACTTCTTCCTTCACAACACAGGATTCTTAGTGTGGAGTCTTAGTGCTTTAACTTCGACTCACACTTAATTGCTATCACAATACAGCTTGCCGCAGCTTATTTCGGTCTTTCATCGGATGTGCAGCGCTCCGCAGCTGTCTCCTGTATGAGCAGGATAGCGGCCTCTGTGTGGGAAAGAATTTCCACCTCAAGGTCAGAATGAATAAGTAATGAACTTTGACACAGGGTTTATAGTTTTCTGTGCCCAATACATTGTTTCTTTCTGTAATTGAGGCCACCGGAGCTTCGGCTTTGCTGCTCATTGCCCTGCGGGAACAAAGCGGGAACTGCAGGGAGGAATATTTAGGGGTAAGCGTCTTCGACCTTTGGAGTGCGTGTTTACACGTGTTCACACATTTGCGAGGTCCGGGACGCCATCTCCGCTGTACAAACGGCTGCTGCTGCCTTTTGTTCACAGAGGCATCCGGCAGTGATGAAATATTCATTGGAAAAAAACAACTCCAACTAAAAACTACTCCTTTCACCTGAGACTCACTCATGCTCTCTCACACCTGGCTGTGGTGCAGTGTGTGAGGATGAACGAAGCCAAGACACACACACACACACACACACACTACTGGTTTCCCCCTCTATTCCTCTTTAGGTTTGCATTTGCTCCAAGAAAAGGAGAAAAGAAATTCTGCCCAGAAGCTGCTGCTCCAGGGATGACGTTCGGTCGATCCACCACTTTAGTGTGCAATTTAAATGCACATATTGGAAAGATAGATTTAAATATAAACTAGATTATAAATTATTTATTTGCTATAATATACAAGCAAGGTGAATGGATGAATGTTATATACATAATATACAAAACATTATCGTATTGGGTGGTTAATGTGGTTAATCACAGTTCATTCATGATTTATCAAGGGGGGGCAATCACTTTTTCAATAGAGTCATGTAGGCTGGATATCTTATTTTCCTTAATAAATGAAATCATTATTTCAAATCCGCATTTCAAATTTATGTTTATGTTTGATTATCTGAAACATTTAAGTGTGACAAATATGTACAAAAATATATCATTCACGGCAATATATATGCTATTATTGGGGAGAAATTCACACATGCAGCTTATTTCAAAAAATGTGTAAAAATACAGTTCCTGGAATCGACTCTGAAGTGCTAAACCAATATTGAACTTGGAAGTTATTTCCAAGGAAAAGACACGTTGTATGTCATGTTTTGGTTGTCAGAGCAAGAATTCAAAGAGGAGATTTAATCAAACTAAGGTGACGTGTTCCGCTTTGGTTCTCAAAACCGGCAGCTGTTACAGAAAGAAGCAGAACACATCTTTTTTAGCTGGTGGTAAGCGTCCCATTATTGTCAGGGACACGCTGTGAGTTCACTTCATTTTTCTTTATTCTTTTCGTTTTCTACTAGAACTAATTCCTGGGTTTTGGTGCAGAGCACAAACTGTCCAAACAATGTTATCCGCACTATACACAGTTTTCTTTATTGAAGGGGAATACATCCCGTGTGTGGCTGCGAAAAGACGTTTGTCCCATCTCTGTGAATTGCAGCAGATTCACACTGTCTAACACACTGCTAAAATAAAAATAAAACATTTAAATTTAGGACTGGAATCCTTCCAATCGGATCCCTACAGTGCTTCCTTTATTTACCATTTCTGCATTTTGGTTCTCTTAAACTGCACTGCAAATTTCAATCAAATTTGAGTTTTTGGTAGGGCTGTCAATAGATTAAAAAAAAAATTACTAATTGATCCCATAATTGAAATTCATCAATCGCAATTAATATAATTAATATTAGTGAGGGCGTCTATGTGAGGAGTCTATGTGTGAGCATCTACATGAGGCATCTACATGAGGAGTCTACGTGTGCTCGTCTACGTGAGGGAGTCTGTGTGTAGGTCTACGTGTGGGAGTCTGTATGTAGGTCTACGTGAGGGAGTCTGTGTGTGGGTCTACGTGAGGGAGTCTGTGTGTAGGTCTACATGTGGGAGTTTGTGTGTAGGTCTACGTATGGGGGTCTGTATGTAGGTCTACGTGAGGGAGTCTGTGTGTAGGTCTACGTGAGGGAGTCTGTGTGTAGGTCTACGTATGGGGGTCTGTATGTAGGTCTACGTGAGGGAGTCTGTGTGTGGGTCTACGTGAGGGAGTCTACATGAAGCCGTCTACGTGTGTGCATCTACTTGTGGGGGTCGTCTACGGGATGGGTCAATGTGTGTGCGTTTAATTGAGGGCATCTGTGTTGTGGGTCTACGTGAAGGGGATATGTATGCATGTCTACGTGAGGGTGTCTGTGTGGGTCTACGTGAGAGCCTTTACGTGAGGGGTCTAATTGCGTGGGTCTACGTGAGGGGTCTATGTGTGTGCGTATACGCGAGGGCGTCTCTGTGAGGGGTCTGTTTTGTGGGCCCACGTGAGGGGTCCATGTACGCGTGTCTATGTGAGGGTGTTTGTGTGTGTGGGTCTACGTGATGGGTCTACGTGTGTGCATCTACATGAGGGCGTCTACGTGTGTGCGTCTACTTGAGGGCGTTAACGTGAGTTCTATGTGTGTGCGTCTATGCGAGGGGTCTGTTTGTGTGCGTATACTTGTGGCCGTCTATGTGATGGGTGCGTTTAATTTAGGGTGTCTGTGTTGTGGGTCTACGTGAGGGGTCTATGTGTGCGCGTCTACGTGAGAGGTCTATGTGTGTTTCTAAGTGAGGGGTCTGTGTGTGCGTCAATGTGAGGGGTCTATGTGTGTGCGTCTACGTGAGGGGTCTATGTGTGTGCGTCTACGTGAGAGGTCTATGTGTGTGCGTCTACGTGAGAGGTCTATGTGTGTGTCTAAGTGAGGGGTCTGTGTGTGCGTCAATGTGAGAGTGTTTACGTGTGTGCGTATGCGTGAGGGCGTTTGTGTGCGCGTCTAAGTGAGGGGTCTGTATGTGTGCTTCTACGTGAGAGGTCTGTATGTTTGAGTATAAGTGAGGGGTCTATTTGTGGGCGTCCACTTGTGGGCGTCTCCCTGATGGCGTAAACGTGAGAGCATTGAAGTGTGTGCGTATACGTGTGTGCATATACGTGAGGTCGACTACGTGAGGGGTCTATGTGTGCGCGTCTACCTGAGGGTTCTGTGTGTGCGTCTACGTGAGGGTTCTGTGTGTGCGTATACGTGAGGGTTCTGTGTGTGCGTCTACGTGAGGGTTCTGTGTGTGCGTCTACGTGAGGGTTCTGTGTGCGTCTACGTGAGGGTTCTGTGTATGCGTATACGTGAGGGTTCTGTGTGTGCGTATACGTGAGGGTTCTGTGTGTGCGTATACTTGAGGGGTCTGTGTGCGAGTCTACTTATGGGCGTCTAAGTGAAGGCGTTCATGTGTGTGTATGTACGTAAGGGCGCCTGTGTGTGGGTCTACAGGAGGGGTCTATGTGTGTGCGTCTACGTGAGAGCGTTCACGTGTGTGCGTATGCATGTGAGGGCTGTGCGTGTGTATCTATGTGTGCGCGTCTGTTTGCGTGTACGTGAAGGGTCAATGTGTGCGCGTCTAAGTGAGGGCGTCGAAGTGTAGGTCTACTTAAGGGTCCTATATGTTTGCATGATGGGTTTATGTGGTTGCGTCTATGTGAGGGGTCTGTGTGCGCGTCTACGTGAAAGCGTTCATGCGTTCAAAGAGAACTGGAAACATTAATTGCAACGCTATAGCATCAAAGCAACATGAACACACTCGAATAGTCGGTCAGTCAGCACCAGTTTTAATGGTTTTCTATAAATCTAGCAAAACTTACATGTGAACGGATAGAAGGATGGAGGGATAGAGAAAACACCTTTAGGAGGAGCACAGACACGTGCACATTACGAAAGCCAGTCAAGGACCAATAACAGAAATTGAAACTAGAAAAGTCTACGTCTGCTCCGTTGGAAAAGAATCTCGGCCGTGCAAGGTGGCAGGCTAACTATAATATTGAGCTTTTGTTACTGTCCCCAGTAAAATGCAGCTACGCCATCTGTGTGGGCGAACAGCTTCTGATGAGTGGCTTCGTGCTTTCATCCTTGGAAAAGTCCATCCATGATCCAGATGTTAAGTTCTCCATTCTGTTTGATGGTGAGCCCACGGCAGCAACAGCAGCACAACTTAAAAGATAACCTGCGTAGTTGTTTTTTTCATTTCTCTTTGTCTCCCAGCCTGTGATGTATGTCTGAAGTTAACATGTGTGTCACAGGATCATACACGTACACACTGGCTTTAGTCCGGCTGTTCTGTTTCTCACATTAAAAGGCAGACACGTGCTATTGCTACAACAAACAGAAGAAAGCGGCATTTGGATTGGAACATGCGGGAGATGAGCATTTGAATCAGTAAATGTGAAATTCAAAAAGGTGTTGTGCGGATGAATGATTAATTTAACAATCTAATTTACACTATAATGAGATTTGATTTCTCTTCTTTGTCTTACACAGACCTCGAACACAGAAAATCCCCATGTGCAGTGAAAAGACAACGATTTAGTCAGAAAAAGACAAACAATCACGTTACATATCTACAGAGTTTATGTTGAGTTTCTGTTTTTTTACCATATATTTGACTAAAGGTGGAAATCCAGAACGCAGCATGATGATAACTGGCTATATAAATGTATTCTGCTTTATAGATTTATAGTCAATATACATATGAAATATGTTATTTAGCAATGGCAGGTTTAAACTTCTGCATAATGCGTATGCATTTAAGTACTTTCTTCCTTTTTGTCAGCAGCAAAATTGACGTCAAATTATTCTTCACAAAACGCATCTGCAATGACCCCAAGTTTGTGTTCTCATGTCCTTCTCCTTTTGTCTTATTCCTAATTAAAACTGGGACGCTTGCGGTTTTAATTTGAAAACAAGCAGTCCTTGCAGCCACTTGCTGGAGGCGAGCATACGACTCTGGGACCCAGGTGGACGGATCAGGTCCGTCTGTCTCGTCTCAGGTCTGAGACTCAAAGCTCTGGTCAAAATGTCATACATTTTTCACTACTGCCATCTGCCACGTTTCACCCAGCTGAACTCAACTCTTCAAAAAATTACATTATTTTTTTCTGTACAGATTAATTAAATGAGGTACAACTCTATGAGATTAGGAAACATTCATCATACTTCGCCTTTTTTCCTTAAATGTTGATTCTTCAAAGATTTCTTTGAACTATGGTACAATTTGTAGTCAATTTATTTAACGACTGGTTCAAACGGTGTTCTAACGACCAAACAATATCTCTCACACCTCAATCTGCAAAGACCAAAGCATTGAGGTAATCTTAGCAATCATTTTGAGCTTATCCTGACAGTTTAACTGAGCAAATATCTCCAGCAGCAGATTATATTGACTTTGGCTAATTATTGAGATTTCTCCAGGTAACTTCACAGGATGAAATTGAACTTGCTACCTTTTTTGGGAAGGAGGGGGGTGGGATCAGATTTCTCCATTTTGAGATCCCTAGAGAGGCAATAGAAATGATCCCGATCTCTTTTCCGGCATTCATTGCAAAGTAGTGTTTAACTTCTCGAAAATACTTTTAGAGCAAAACAAGCACACCTCTTTAAGACCAAACGTGAGAAGAAACAGAGTCCAAGAGCGGCAATTATCACACACTGCGCCACATTGAATTTCAGGAGTCGCCGAAGGATTTGATTGTTTGTTTAGGAGGGAGACACTGGAGCAGCTTTGTTGGTATACAAAGAAAAGTGTTTATGTAAAAATAAGAACATTTAGCACAGAAGAAAAGTGTTTTCTGCTGTTTGTTCACACTAATAACACCAAACTCCGCCATTAATGTGACAATGATGTATCGGTGTTTGAGAATATTACAAATTCTCCCGTGGTTGTTTCTGTCCAATTTAACCTATTTGTCCGAGCACCAAGCTTTAGGCGAGGAGATGTACAGTCTCGAAGCGCAGTGCTGGAATATAATTTTTAGCTTTGCTTTGGTCAATAATGTTGCATTTGTCCTGCAGCGCTATTGAAAACTGCTCTGCAATCGGATCTGTTCACGTACCATGAAACACATCGCCTCGTAAATACATTTGTTTTGTGTGCCGGCGTTTGGGAGAACCTCTGCGCACAGCAAGGCTCTACTTGTAATCCACAGAGGTGATTTCCCCATAAAAAAATGCTTCCGTTGGGGTGATGATGACTGAATCACTGTAGGCCAAACACATCCAATCCAATTTGCCTATGTAGCCTCAAGATTGGGATTCACTCGGATTCCACCCGTATAGTGACAACATCTTATCTGGGGACCGTCGAGATGCTTTTTCCCAATACCACACCTTGCTGAATCAGTCATTGAGGCCACTAATTGGTGATTCTGTCAGTTTAATACAGTTAAAAAACATCCCTGGCTGAGGTCCCTTATGTGTAAAATAAATAGCCTAAGGCTGATTGGAGTTTTAACTATATAACACTTGGATCTACCTGGAAATGTATTCTGTCAATGTAGCTTGGTTTATCTGAAACATCCCAGGGTCGACATGTTAAGGTAGTGTGTGTGTGTGTGTGTGTGTGTGTGTGTGTGTGTGTGTGTGTGTGTGTGTCAAAAAAACCCTCAATATTCAAATGAAATGTCAACTTTTGACATTGAGGTCCCAAATCAACACTAAGAATAAAATTTCCCCTACTTTATAAAACTGTCTAGAGATATGTTTGCCAATATTCTGTTTAATTCAACCCTGTAGGTATGTATATATCAAACTTGCCACCGGCGAGGCTGATGCTCAATGAGTTCATAAGGTGAGCTGTTTTTTTTTATCAATTCCCTCCTCTCTTAAAGTGGTTGTTTCAATCTTTAATGATTTTCCTTTTGAATTTCAAATTCTAGTGCGACTCCTTAAAGTCAACGCGGCTTTGATTTTTATTATTTGTAAAAAAATAAAGTACACCTCCAACCTAAAGCCTCCCGCCTGGGCCACCCTCGGGGCTAGAACAGGTGGATTCAATCTTCAACGGTATTTGTTTTCCAGGTGTGCTCATCTCTCTGTCTCTCTCTCTCTTTCTCCATCTTTCTCTAATCTGATTGTATTTCTGAACCTGGGCCAGACAGAAACAACTGTTACCTCGAGCCACTTAGAATAACAAGCAGCTTCAGTGGGTCTGCAGGGCCGAAACCATGGCTCCCGGAGCATGAAACACGCTTGGCATGCAAGTTGTTGTGATTTTGACTGGCGAACATATTGGTCCCATACTGTAGGGCTACGGTATAGGATGCCAAGACGGACCCTTGGAGGATTTAAAACCTGGGCAAGCAGCAAAATAAAAAAAAAAACACACCAGCCAGGAACCGATCCAGTTTTCCATACCAACCCAAACAATGTTACTTGAAGAATTTGCTCATATTGATGGGAGAGACGCTATAATCAATTACTTTCATGTGATGATTTGAGGAGCAAATCATTTGTTAATTGATAACTTTCTCAAAAACGTTCTCCTGAAGGAACAGAGGACGATTAGCATTAGTTTTTTTTATACTTCGCTTCCTTATTGATACTCTGATATACCACGCGAGAAAAAGACAATTAATAAAAACAATCGATATTGCTTTATTATTCTTGTATGTATACAAATAGTCTTTCTTGAGCAGCAATGAAACAACTTCCAAAGGATTTAAAGTACATTTACTAAACAATTAGCTTAGCGATTATCTTACATTTAACGCTACGAGACCATTCTAACGCTAATGTTACCCGCAGAGGACCAGGATGGACGGCTGCCTGCTCGCCAAACCATTTCTGGTGATAGATGTTCTGCTTGTTTCGCCAAATGATGTTGGTAAATTGCCGGCAATACCTCTCTTACTGGTGAGGGTTTTATTGTATTTTGACAAGAAAGTTCACAGCATTTAGTCAACTTAATTGTAGCCACACTTGTTCTTTCTAATTATGAACCAGTTCCTGTTTAGAACTGGGTTTCGGGTGGCATCCCCATCAAGGACACAGGGAAATCTTAGATAGAGCTCCCTAATGTACTCTCTAATTCCGCATTAGATGTGACCATTAAGAGGGATATGACTACAACTTACGAGCTAGCACTATCGCTAACGTGTATTTGGCCTTTAGCGATAGTGCTAGCTCGCTTGGGCACTGTTAGCTTAGCTTAGCACCGCGATAATTTGAAAAAAACAATTTGACCGCTAGCAAGACAACCAACTTTTTTTTAGTGTGTGTTTAACTGTACTCAACAGCGGGCTGGGCACAGGTTTGTGATATTTATATTAACCTACGGAGACATGACGTGCAGTAGTTCACCATCACCTCGCCTATCAAGCAAGCAAGCCAATAATGTTAGATTTACATAATTAGCAAAGAATTCATACTGTAAAGCTAATGAGTGAATGAGTTTGGCCTGTCGTGGCATTTGGCCCCCTTGTCACTTCATTTTCAGGTTTTTCAGGGGGGGGCGTTGTTTTGTCTCTCTCACACTAAAGAACTAGATACGCAAAATGTAGAGGAATAGGGGATAGAGACAGATGACATGAGGCCACTGTCTGTTTAACTATGTATGTGTTTTCATTTTGTACAGTGGTTGTGCTTCTGTATGAATTGTTTTTGTTTCCAACAGAGGGACTGGTTCAAAGGCAGAGAATATGCAAGAAACGGCACAGGCAGTTAAAAAACACATCATCAAAACGACTGTCGGGCCTCTGAACATGCAACAAGAAATATTCTGCCATTGGCAGAGAAAGGGAAAAGAAGTGGAAAGTCTACGGACTTGTGGAAGGAGAAAGAAATACACAAAGTTTATATATATATATATCTACACAAGTCCTATGTCTTTCAAGGGAGCTATATCCCAAACAACAGAATCAGCAGTGGAGATAGTAGCATGAGAAGGTGAGGGTTGCCTGCCAGGTTATCTGCACCCCCTCTTAGAGACTCCTGGTTGATTGCTTCCTGGTTGGACGAGCTGCGGGGGGGGGCCGAGGCCCCCAGGTGCTTGTCCCGGTTGGAGCACATGTCGTACAGGTTCCCGGAGAACTGCATCTTCTTGGATTCCTGTCGGAGGGATTCCCAGACTGCCGCAGCTTCGTCCGGACAGCCGGCCATTGCTGCGTTGGCGCAGTCATGGAACGCATCCCACGACCTGAAGACAAGAGGGAGGAGTCAGATGCAACTCGGGACACGTGAAAACAAAAGGAAGCCATCATGGAAACCTATAAAAGAAATGAGCAAAGAAGGTTATGGGAAGTCAAAACGGCAACAGCGTTTCCACATAGTTGTCAGCAATAGTTGTCAGTTGGGTTAAGATTAAGCTTAATCTTAAATTAGCAGGTCGAAGTTATTGTGTTTATGCAAATGTTTATAGTCGATGGTGGTAGCCTGCCTCAAAACATTAAATACGCCAATGGTAATACATGGTACCTTTACTAATGGCACGCTAGCAGTAAGTACACATAAAAGTTGTTTGGGAAATGTTGAAGTTACCCAGACACCCCCTTACACTGCCTCTGATTGAATCAGAATCAGAAGCCTTTTATTGCCAGATATGTTACACACAGAGGAATTTATCTTGATGATTGGTGCAATATAAGAATAAAATAAGATTAAATGTCCATATGTTACTACATGGGGCTCGGACTTGGTTCATGAGAGCAGCTGATGAGGGAGAGAAACTGTTTTTGTGGAGAAGATATTATCTTTCAGTCCCCAACACAAGCTGGGCACCGGTTCGTTCACAGCACCTTTCATGAAAATAGGACAGCACAGGCACTATCCAATTAGATCGCATTTATGCTCACGTCTAAAGAGCGCGAAGCTCGAAAAAAGACCCCTGCCCAAGAGGATAAATCTTTCTCACTGATAATCCCCTGACTTTCTATCCAGTGTTCTTGTGGAGCCACTGGTTTTGAGTGAAATGTCACCATGACTTTGGTATAGACATTCATGTCCGCCTCAGGATGAACTGTAATGACTTTGGTGATCTATTGCCATCTCAGGATAAAACAAACATAGACCCAGTGTCCTAGTATAATCCAAACCATCACTGGTATGGTTGGAAAGTCTTGCTCAAGCCCAATTGCTAATAACAACCAAATAAGAAAAAACGTGGCATTCCTCATACACGGTTGGTGCATACTTCAATTGAGGGAGGTTTTTTTTTCTTCTGAATTTTCAACTCCCCATGCATGTGTGCTATAAATACAATAACACTTCCCACATAAGCACGAAACACCCTGGCCAATAACATGCCAAACACATATGATTATCCTATCTGGTGAATGCTCCCGTTGTTTAACTAATAATAATCTAAACTATGAAAATAGCTGAAGATGCGACAACGATGAAAAACAAGTCCTTTTACTGGGTAAATCTAATTCAATCTTCAAGTCCTTTGAGTTCTCTCCGCAATTGCCATGAGACCATCTGCTGGTCTTCACTACTGCGAGAGCGAAGGTTGCAGTTCAAGTTAAAACGGGGGGGAGGACGGCCGCCATCAGAACAGGGAATGGAAAAGCTGTCAAGCTGTCATGAACTGCGTATTTGTTGAACTACTGCTGTTTTATATCAATTCATTTGAAACACTCCTTGAATTGAAGTGTAATAAGTGAAGGAAACAGTAAAATAAAAGAGGATGAGGAAAAAATGATGAAAGAGACAGGAGGAAGTAATCTTACACAGTTCTTACACAGAATGAAAGCATAAACCAACTCTACACTCCCTCACTCGGACACTCGGGTGGCGGCACAGATCTCCGCCTGTCTGATTGACATCTCTCAGTGGATGTCCGCTCACCATCTGAAAATCAACCCTGACAAGACTGAACTACTTCTCTTTCGGGGAAAAGATTCTCCTACACAGGACTTGACGGTTAACTTTGGGAACTCCGTACTAACGCCCACTTTGACTGCTAGGAACCTCGGCGTGACACTCGACAGCACAACTCTCCCTGACTCCCAACATCACCGCGACAACGCGATCCTGCAGATACACGCTCTACAACATCAGGAGAATACGTCCTCTTCTCACTCAGAAGGCAGCGCAGGTACTGATTCAGGCTCTTGTCATCTCCCGCCTGGACTACTGCAACTCCCTCCTGGCTGGTCTCCCTGCCACCGCCATTCCACCTCTGCAGCTCATTCAGAATGCAGCAGCTCCACTGGTCTTTAACCTTCCCAAATTCTCCCACACTGCTCCACTCCTCCGCTCTCTTCACTGGCTACCGGTGGCCGCCCGCATCCAGTTCAATACACTGGTGCTCACCTACCATGCTGTGAATGGATCGGGTCCAGCTTACATCCAGGACATGGTCAAACCCTACATCCCGACCCGCACTCTCCGCTCTGCACCTGCAAAACTACTCGTCCCTCCCTCACTGAGAGCAAAACACTCGACTAGATCACGACTCTTTGCTGTCCTTGCTCCTAAATGGCGGAACGAGCTCTCTGAAGACACCAGGACCGCAGAGAGCCTTCACATCTTCTGACTAAAGACACACCTCTTCAGACTCTACCTCGACTAACAAATTGTAGCACTTAAATTGTACTTATAACGCCACTCATCTATAGCAAATTGTAAATTGGCTTATTTGAGGAAATTGCACTTTCTTGTTTCTTGTTCTTCTGAGTTTGTACCCTATGGTTGAATGCACTTATTGTAAGTCGCTTTGGATAAAAGCGTCAGCTAAATGACATGTAACGTGATAAAATTTAATTCCAGTAACCTTCAATTTTCACACCTGAAGCTGAGTACATCTGAATCGGCTGCTAATTCTTCCACTCATCACGAATGTGTTGAGTTTTCTCTGAGGAAATATGAGGAGTGTTAAAAGAGAAAAAGGAGGGCCCTCAAACAAAGCAGAAGCAGATGGTTCTGTTCAAAATGAGCCCGACACAAAACACCTGAAGCATCTTACATGAAAGCCATTAAAGTCCATATGATTGATACAAACATGCCTCTTTTGAAACAGACGCGCATGTCCTCCAGATGCCAGGTTCCAACACGCTCGCGCTCCACACTCGTCAAATAGCGACGCTTGGTCGGTGGCCCTGCGCTTCCAACTATGCCGCTCGCTCGGTTCGTTTCCACTTATTAATGGTGCCTTTTGAAAATAAAGTTCTGTGTTATATCAAAACAGCGTCAATACAAACCTCTGTGTCGAAAAGAAACATACAGTTTCCGCATATATTACAATTTAGATACGCTTCAGTTCACACGGGACAAGAAAAGAACGGCTAAAAGTTGCTTTGACCTGACCGCCCACCCTAAGCAGACCTTTTCGCTCTTCGTACAGCGCCAGCTGCTTTGCCCGTCTAATTGTCCAAAGGCTACTGACCAAGTGTCAGTATTTGAGGAATGGGGACAAAGAAGGGCTTGACAGCACATGATCTATGCGTCAGATAAGGAGACAGACATCACATCCTTCTACAAAAGTTGCTTGTTCACGATTAAGCCCCGTGGACTGGTCACGTGGCTAAAGAGTTCTGTACTGATGACGGCTGCCTGCGTCAGTCACATATGGCGCGCGCACACAATGTCAAAAGGATGGAAAAACAACAACTAAAAAGGTCCACCTCAATTGCAGCTAATCGCATTCTTGATCTCTCTCAACGGATATCGAACTTCTCATCAGAGTTCAAGGTTAATGGCAGGTAAGCGTGTGATACATACACACACCAAAAGGTAAGAGACGCACAAGAGAAGACCGGCAGTCTCCGAATGGAGCCGTTGATCAGTTTTGATTCATCACTGTAGCTGGGGAGGGATTGATCACAGTTTAATTCAGACAAATAGGATTAATCACGGCGGGATTGTTGCAGTCCTGTGTTGTCTCGCCCCGAAGGCTTCATTGCTAATCTTGCAAAGTGTAGCTGTGATTAACACCTAAGCTGAACTCCCGATCACAACACTTACAGCTCCAAATGTCTTTTAAATAAGTAAGAAAATGTCTTTGTACTGTGCATTTTGAGGGCATTTTCTCCTTATTTTCAGGTCAGAAATGCAAGCATACACACACACGTTATCACACACTGTGCATAGAATTTCTCTAGACCCACTTCTTCAATGGAAACGTGGTTGTGTCGCCGCAGCGAGGGACACTTGAATATTCGCGTGCAGCTTCATAAAATGATCAAGCGCCACTACGGGCCGGGCCTCCCTTGATGACTCTGCGTGTGTGTGTGTGGCCTGTGTCAAGGGTGTTACCTTACTTAACACCTCTGGTCCACCCACCGACTACGGGAGAGGACTCTGCTTAACTGCTGCAGTGGGAGGAGCAGCTGATGGAGAGAAAGTGGCATCTGGCACCTGAGTGTGTGTGTGTGTATGTAGGGAGATAGTGTAAGAATAAAAAAAATAAAATTGAAAGGGATGTTGTCATGTGCAGCGGTGCAGGGCTTCTCCTCCGTGTGTGTGTGTGTGTCTCTGCTCAAGTCACAGGTGGTGCAGAGACAGCAAAAACACAGCGAGGGCACTGACAGACAGCCAGCTGCTTTCACAATAAAAAAAGCTCTTGAGGGTACGTCTGCTCGGCTGCTAACATGCTGCTGCTGACACCCGAAAAACCTCCAAACCTCAGTTGCGAACGTTCTACTGTCCTGTCTTTTAAATTATTGACATTCAAACATATTGCTAAGTGTTGTGTCCGGAAATTGAAGGCAGGCAATGGAGCGCAAGTAGGTAGAGCAGAAACAATGATTGATTATTAGATTTCATTTTGTAATCTGGACAAGTTTGTATGCATTTATATCTTGTTAGACAGACTTTAATAGTTATTTTGTAACCTTGTCTGAACCCAGACATATTTAATAGAATCACGCTAAGCGTCGTCTGTGCACAACTAACCTGTTAATGCTCTAATGTTTGATCTGCAGGCAGATATATTAGAGATGACAGTCAGCAGCCTCCCGCGCAGGCTAATATTAGCTCTCCATCAGTACCAACTGTCTCCAGCCTCGTTTAGCCATTTACCACACTGACAGTGGATATTAAAGTATCGTATACCTCACATCTCAGTTTGAAAGCCTCCGCTACACACACACACACACACACACACACACGCGCACACACACACACACGTTAGGGGTATTTTCCCGTTTCCATCCCCCAAAAGGCACTTTGGCTTCCGCGATAAAAAGACACTGTTCT